TTGTTGGCCGCTTGAATATCCTCCTTGGTGAAGTGTCTATTCATGTCTTCTGCCCATTTTTTAATTGGATTGTTTGTCTTTTTGTTATTGAGGTTAAACCCACTTTTTGGGTAGAGTCCTCGCTTGGCTGTGCTTTGCTTGTTATTTCCCACTTTCCCCCCCAAATCATTGTAGTCTGATAAATTGATTTATTGGAGAAAAGGGGAAGTTTTTGCTTAAAATATTTAAAATTCAGAAGATTGTTCTGAACAAATCTTTTCGGCAACAGAGAAAATGCAGCTTGTAAAAATCTAGTTTGTGTCTCTAATTCCAACAAATTCAGGGAGTGTTCCTTTGAAGACTTCCTGCAGATTATAAAGGTTGTGTCATCCCCACACATGGAAGGCAGATGGTCTTGAATAGAAGTTCAAGGAAATGAGGTATTTTCTTTCTTTCTTTTTTTGTGATGGATTACTCTGTGTCTATCTTCTATTGTTTCTGTAATGATTGCAGGTATTTTGTATCATTGGTGTCTGTAAGATTAGCTTCAGGAAACGCCGGTGTTTTCAATATCTCAGGAGTTCATTCCTATTTGAGTCAGGAATAGTTTTTTATTTCTTGAGACAAACATCACAATTCTGTTGCTTATTTTATAACATAAAATAGTAAGTAGTACTATTAAGGTAGTATGGGCTCATCACTTGCCTAGGAGGCCTCACAATCCCTAGTGGGGTTGGGTAAAGTATAAGAGTCTCTCTTTAAAATTCTCACAGAAATAAATTCTGAATCCTTTTGGCTAATTAGGGAGATGAGTATAAATGAACTTTAGACTCTAAAAATCTCCTCATTCTTTGACCCTATTAGTAAAAACACCCAAATCTTTGAAAATTAAACAATTACCTATTGATAAGCAGCATTTTGCTGATGGCCAGTTTCATTTAGTGAAAAGTCCATTGCACACTTAATTTAATCTGATCCATTCACATTTAATTTTTATGTAGTACTTTTGAGCTTATTTTGCTTTAAACTCAGTGATTTAGGAGGTTATGTAAACTGATATGAAGAGTCTTAAATAATAAGTATTGCCTAATGTTCATCTGTACAATATAACTTCTTATAATTCAAAGATACATTGATTCTCCAGCAATAAAGTGGCAAGTTTATGAAAATTGTTCAATTATATGATGCAAGAAAATTCCAGCCCTAAATCTTTAGAAGTCACCAAAATTTTTAAACTGAGTCAGAGAATATGAATTAAAAAATTAGCTTTTTAAATA